TATATATATATTATATAATATTCATACGCACATCGTTTATCAAAGATATTATTTAAATATTTAAAGAGGTGTCGATTCTGAATTTCGCAGAAAAGCGTGTATTCATCATTTCTTTCAATGAGACAAAAAGATTCCTAGTTGTATAGTTTATAGCAATTCTAAAATGGGAAATTGATCCAGTGATGCAAAGACTGTGTTCGTCACGCTTCCCCGTCGCGATTTCACGGTAGTCTCCGACATGGATTTCGCGAGAAATCCAACAGGAAATAATAGGGATGTATTTCGGGACCCCGCAGGCGGACCGTTGACCTCGACGGGACATTTACGGGATTCCGCGACGTCGCGCCAACCTCGTTCACCATTCGCGCGCGAATGTAGATACACATCTCGAGCAGTAATCTCGACGTTCCAGAAACGGTGAACGATGTATTTACAATGGTTTTACGGTACTACAACCATTATCAATTTACTTATAGTCGTACTATATGGACGTACCACTAGTACGACTATATCGACATGATCTCATGAATCTTGCACTCGTTTCGCGACGATCGATCCCCCGAATCGGCGCGAATCGCGTATCTACGATATCGCGTATCGCCCGATATGTTCAGTCTACTTACACACCACCCGATATATTAGTCCATTCACACGCGAACTAACATTGAAATTGGAAAATCATCAGGAAGTCGTTGCCGTCGTTCGATCGTGCCATCGCCAAACCGTTTCTGTATTTATGAATCCGGGCGTTTATTCTAATTGAAACACACATTCAATCCGCTTTAGAAAGTATCCTGAACCAAAATCACTTTTTATATACTTTTTCAAAGCGCTTATAAATAAATGAATGCTGTTAAATTCAGAAATTTCTCCTAAGATTTTTGTTTTTGGCTTGTAGTTAAATTTCTTGTTATAAGTATTCAAATATCTAATTTCTATTTAGAAAATGTTAAAAATTATCTTTTTTCCATAATATAGTAATAAATACATCGCTTCCTTATGTCACTTCAAAAGTGACATAAGGACATAGCTCAAAAAATATAGTAAGTTAAGTGAATATTATTCTGTTAATCATTAAAAGCACGGATTGAAAAGATTTTGTTAATTTAACAAGCTGCTAATATCCATAGAAAATTTCATTTTGTAGATATAATGGCAATAAATGTGTCGATATCGAATATGATTGTTATTTTTTTTATTTATTGTGTCTATGATAATTCTTTTGTTATGGAAACTGATGCTAGTCGTTATATTTGTTAGTAACATTGTAAGTTATACTAGCAATATATTTTGTATCAATATACTAAAACAAGTGTGATTTGTAAACCGTATATTGTTTGTTAAATTTGACAAATAATGAGAAATATGATACGCAATAGTAATTGATTAATTCCTTTTCCTAGCAAATCATCACATAACAAATCATTTTTTCTAATAACAAACTCACATCTCTATGAATCAATTTAACTTTGTTAAAAGTCATTAAAGTCATAAAATCGTCACAACTCAAAAAGAGTGATTTTTAAGGATGAAAATGACAAAAATGACATTTGATCATATTAAGAATATATATATATTTTTTGCCGATATTATTTAATTAGTTTATTCAATTTTTTTTGTTCAAATCGAAAAATAATTGGTCACTTTTGAAGTAAAAGAATGATATATAATTATACACGTCTTTAAGATAAGCGCAGAGAGTGCGTGTTTTAAGATGAAAACATTATTCTGCGTGACGTGATCAACGAACGATATCATACGATATCCACGGGTTTTACTGCCGGAAATGTAATTACAATTCAGCGATCGGGAGATACTCCGTTGCGTTTATACCTCGATTTATACTTTGCGTAACAGGCATCGAGGTTCGGCTCGTGCTGTTTACTGTGGAACAATGGCGAATCGACATGAGGGAAGCGGCTGTCAAGGACTAGTATACAGGTACGAGGACCTCGAGTCACGCTCGGGTTCCTTCTCTGCGAGCGTCTAATTGCTTGGTCGTTCCGGGGCGTGAGCGGGTGGACTTGAGATCCTCGTTTCTTGGGTCTCGGCTGCATCGAGGTGAAATCGACAATTCTGCACGGAGAAAAATATTTAGTTGAATTAACTGGAGTCGAGGCGGAAAATGAACGATTCAGAATTCTAGTTTAATAGATTTCTGGTTAAATTTACTAGAATTCTGGCAGATTGGGAATTGGTTGTTTCAACAAGAATTCTGGTAGATTTAACCAGAAATCAAGTAAACTTAATCAGAATTTTGGATCATTTATCTTCCATCAAAATTCCAGTTAATTCAACCAAATATTTTTTTTCGTGTGTCGTTGGAATTTTTGAAATCAAATATATTACATAATCGTTATGCGAGAAAGTTATTCAAATTGATTTTTGAAAGAGAAATTCATGTCATAAAATTAAGTAAACAAATTAAGTAAAAGATATTAAAAAATTATTAATTAATTTATATTATTATTAATTATTAATGCAAAAAGTTTTCGTTATGAACTTGGATCTAATTCGGATCAAAATTAATCAGATACAATTTTTGATAAATGAAGAGTAAGAGAATCTAATTAAAAATTATAAAACATTTCCAACTAATTCATAAATAGATAGAACTTAATTCTAATACTTCGATGATAACATTCATCAATCCGAAATATTAAATTTTAGTTAGTTTCACAAATAAAAAAGATATTTTTAAATATTTTAGTTCTAATTATAAGAAATTCTTCTTTTTCTTCTTGTTCTTGCTTGGCTCTTTATGAACCACTTTGTTCACAATTTCAAGAAATTATTATTTTATAATCCATTTAACTTCATGCCAATATTAATTTGTTTTTATTAAATCTAATCTATATAATTATATTTATACGTATAATAGCTACAATAAAAATATGCAATTCTCTGAGCAGTTAGTTCTGTGAACTATTTTCTTAATTAATACCTCGCGGGAGAGACACTCTTGAGAATGCGTTCAACAGGAAAAATGAGGATTCTACAAATTCCAGTTATTTTTCCGCGAGACGATCTCTTTTCTCGAAAGCGAGAAAAAACATCGAAGGTAGCAATGACACGCTTCTCTCTCCGCGTCCGGTTTCTCGTCCCTCGCCGATATTACGTGCTTAGTACGGCTTCGATTGTAATCGTTTGTGCCAGTGCGAATATGTACGTCTATCGTACCGGATTTCACGACATTAAGTCCCCTTTACGGCCTCTAAGACTCGCTTTGTTTATAGGATCTCATATCTCAATGCTAAATAAATGGATATCACACGACAAGCTTTGGCGATCACCATTAAGCCTCATAGAAGAAAAATGACAGTAATGTCAATGACCGATATTGTTCCTTTACTTTAAAGTTCAAAAGTGATACAACACAAATAATTATACTGAAAGAAAAATGTTTGTGACTATAATTGCATAGTAAAATAATTATGGTTGAAAGCTACATTTTTATGATTATTACTGTTATAATATTAGTAAATAAAAATTATATGTGTTCTTTCAAATGAAAATTCTCTCTTCAAATGAAAAAATTGTACTATAAATTATGATAATTTTAAATATTAATGTAGTGAAATATCAAGATATATAAATGGTAAATAAAATAAACATTTTCATATTCAATAAATGCAATCGCAATTATAACAAATATAATTATTTTCTTAAATTCATTTACTATTTATATAATAATAACAACTAAAAAATATATTTAAATAAAACTGATGATTTTCAAACAGGTGATTTTGAAATTATTATTAATAGCACAATTGATTATACACATTTGATTGGTTTACTTTTTGTAAAGGCTCACTTAAATTAATTTTCCAAACTACGTCAAATTAGTGTTCTATCAAAGTAATTAAATCAATTTTCTGAAGAATCACCTTGTTAACTGGATTTTTAAATTTATACTAAACTTCTCAATTTGATGTTAAGCCGTAGGGAATGACTAGTTATTTCCTCAATTTGCGAGACGACAAGCATTTCACAACGAAGATCGCTAATTATAGTTTCTTTTCGTGATGATAAGCCAAAACACCTTTTCTAAAGGCTAACTACCTTTAAGGCGAGCGTTATCACATAGATGTTACGTCATCGCATGAGCCCCTCTTTATCAAGTTGAAATTAATTATACAGACTGCCTGTGGCTCGACCGACTGTCACTGATAAGTAATACGTTTGCATGTATATTTGTATGCGTACACATACACACAACTATATGTTTATTATGCATGAACATGAGTCAGCTGATTTCATGATTTATTCATTAAATGAAAAGTCAAGGAAGTTAGTAGGTAGATTTATTACTTCTTTTTGTTTTTTACAATTATCTCGTCTGACAAACATATAGATCGTATAAGATCTATGGATACATATCGCTCAATAAGAACAAGTATGTGGATTCGATGTTTTTCTATTCAAATAGATAAATAGATTTCACGTGAAGTCGAGTGGGCATAAATTCTATCGGTATGTCTAATCGATTTTGTCTCATAAGTTTCCTTGTAATGTCCACATAGATATATGTATTAAGAACCCAGCAATTAAAAGTATAATTATTAATTTAATACAATTTATATGTAATTTTCAAGAATATTAAGTTTTTAAATTAATTTTTATGCAGAACTAAACAAAATTGTACTATCAAAATGAGATATTTTGGATCCAATTTTGGAGATCCGCCTTCAAGAAATTATTTTATTAGAGTATGGATGATGACTTTTCAGTAAAATTAACTAAAAGTAGTACAACATCAATGTTATATTTAATATAATTTCATACTCAACAATATAACTGTTACATTCATGTATTATATTTATATTGTTCAGTATGGAACTATAATTAATGTTATGTTACTCTTAATTGGTGGTTGTTTACTAGATTATAAAGTTGCGAGAACATGGAATTCCACCGTGTGTTGCTTGCGGATGAGCAACTTTAGTTCAGCAATTCTACATGGATTACATCTGTTAAAATCTATATACAAGTATTCACGTAGAATTCACATTGAAATTTGAGAAAAATTTATTTTGATTTGATAATGAAACCGTAACATTATATTCATGTACATATCGATGAATTCTTGTCTACGTAGTTCATGTAAAATACATAAATTCAATTACGTACTTGTTCTCATCAAGCAATTGCGTATAGATCATATTTCTCATTTCTACTATTCTATCATGATCTTTACAGTATTTTTGCAATAATTCTGCATAATATTTTGCAATCAAGTTTTAGAAAACAAAGAAACTCTGTAATTATCTATAATATCTGATTAAATTTTGAAAAGAATAAGATTTTATCGCATCACATATATTTTTATGGTTTGATGCGCACATTTTTATGAATTAAATATTCCAAAGCATTCTATCAGAAATCTTTGCATTAGCATACGTAATTATTTTAGATTTAAATAGCTATGTGTTTGGATGAATCGAAAGGTTATGAGGAAAATTGAAAATGTAATGAAGCATGTAGTGTCAAATTTTCATATTTAGTAGCAATGGAAAGGCAACCTGGGGGATGATTTTGTAGTCAATACAAAATAAAGAATCTGTAAAGATAATTATACAGCAATTAATTTTAATAATCTGATACAAAGTAATAATATGTTAATTAATGCGACAACGCGATTATTTTTTATTCATCTAAAATTCATACAAAAAACTTTACTTTCTCCTTGTAATTGTATGAAATAATGTGATGTAAAGCCACTAAATGCATGTCAATTTTACTTGTCACAATAAACAAATTAACTACAGATGAAAAAAATTGAATCTTTTTTTTATCTTCAATTGCTCTGTTTACTTTGTTAGGTCGCGACAGGGAGTAGCAAGCACTCCGCTGTGAAATTAGAAATTTAAATCATCCCCTGGTGTGTGGTCCTTCGTTATTTGTTCCTTTATACCGCTTATAGCATTCATTGATACGGACATTCATGACTAAGTTCGATGTTCGATTTTCTACTTTGCAGCCCACGTGGCGTTTATGGGGCGAGGAAAGAGGCGACGGCGTCATATACACAGTATATCTAAAGAAGGTCCGATACCATCGGCCCACGAGAAGTCTTTCAGCATCGGTGAGCATGATATCGAAATATTTTTAGTCAAGATTTTTAGCGTTTAATATTTTTACCAATTTAACTTGTCCTTTTCTTTTAGATTTTTAGCATTTGGTAGTAATTTTTTTTAATTTGTTCCTTTAGATCTTGATAATTTTTATTAATTTAATCATTTTTACAGAATTTAATTATAATAATTTAACTAATTTAATCTTTTTTTTATTGTAATTGATTTTTATCAATATAATTTAACTTTTTCTTATTGCGGTTGGAAATGGAGATCTACTTGTAATACACACAGTATTTTCCATAATTTTTTGATTCAAGAAAAATCATGATTTCCTCTCTAAAGATTTAGAAATTTCAAAGAGCAAGTTTTTTTTACTTGTTCTGAAATTTCTAAATTTTTAGCTACTATTTATTTAAAGCCTTTTAATCCTAGTACGCTATCGTATGTAAATTTCACATGTAAGTGAGATCATTGAACGCTAAGCTGTCTTCAATGGTTAGCATGAGGATTTAAATCTGCCAGGCTGAAAGCTGAAGCCTAATTGAGTATCATTCTAGTGCTATTCATCAAAGCGGGGACCAAAGCTTTTAAAAATTCAATCCATTATATATCAGTTTGGACCTTTTAGCGATCAGTATTATAACAAAGAAGAATCACGTGATACCAATTTTTAAATAATTTTATTGTATTACATACGCCATATCATTTTAAAATTGAATTTGACAGTAATCTTGCTCTTTTTATTAATTTGATAATTAGATTATTTACATAGGTTTATATAGGTTTATTTTTTCTAGTTTTCTTATTTCCTTTAGTTTATAGAGATTATAAATATGTTATCATTAAAAATGTAAAGTGTACAAAGATCTTGTGTTACGTTAATTAAAAATGATCTATATTCTCGTAAAATTTATATGTCAATAGTAATTAACTGTATCATTAATACCGAGCATTCTAAAGTAAAAAGCTTTTATTTAAAGGAATCTGGCACAAAAGCGTCCACAGCACATTCTAGCAATGTTGCAGCAATACGTTGCTGAAATACTCTGCGCTGTCGTATGTTTTTCAATTAATAGTTTCAACATTCAACTAATGCACTCGTCGCGATTCTCCAGGATTCTGACGACGAGATTTCGCACTTGGAATGGGAGACGGTGCGAGTGCGTTTCTTGAAGGCCGGCACGGTGCAGCGGCTGGTCGAAAGTCTGGCGAACGACGACGGCGAGCTGGAGTCCACTTACATAAACATCTTCCTGGCAACATACCGAGCGTTCACCAGCCCTCGTGAAGTCCTCGAGCTGTTGCTCGCGCGATACGACGCTCTGGACGGGACCGCCGGCTGTGAGCAGCATCGCAAGACCCTTGTTCAGGCTTTGCATGTCTGGCTGGACGCTTATCTAGGAGACTGGAAGTCACCCCCGAGCCATCCCCTGCTCACCAGACTTCTCGAGTTCACGCAGCAGCGTCTTATTGGCTCTGAGCTCGAACTCAAAGCTAAGCACCGACTGCACCGGTTTCAGCGGGAGGATCAGATAGGTAATGTTATTTCACCGGCTTGGTGAGTCACGTCGTTTCACCGTGAACTTTAAACACAAAGAAAACCGTATAATTGATAAGGCACCGTGAGAAGTTCAAATACGAAGAATGATAACGCGCCGCGACATTTCCTAAGAACCACATCGGTTTTGGTTAAACTGTGAAAGAAACGAGCATTATAATGTTATTATAATTTGTTGTAATCAAAATGATGCATTCAGTATGAAATTCATCAAATCGAATCTTTTTTAACATCAATTAAATTCTATTAATATAATATAATCAATTGGAAATAATATAATCTTTTTTATTTTCGTATTTCAAAAACGTTTTTATATTTTTTATGTATTCATTTTAATACGATGTCCTGCAATATACTGATCATCTATTTAAAATATGATTTTACACACAATAATAAAATTTTATTTAATAAAATAGAATAGTTTTTATTTAATAAAATAGAATAATGATCCAAAATTAAGTTATCTTATGACACTTGTAGTATCATATATTTTGTGACAATTCTGACTTATTTATTCCAAAATTTCATTAAATAAAAATTATTTAATAAAATTATTATTTATAAATCGTGTCTTAAATTTAGAAATTTTTAACTCGATTTTAAAGTAATAAATTTATATTTAATGAAATTGAAATATGCTTCAGAATTGTTCTAAGATAATTATCATAAGATAATTCTAGATTATGTATTCCAATTCCAATAAATAAAAATTTAACGTTTTAAAATCTGTTTCAAATAAATGTCATGTAATACAGTATTAAAATAAATATATAAAAATACAGATAGGTTTTTAAAATATAAAATAAAATTTTAAATCCGCTGATTGTATTTAAATAAAGTTCAAATCTATAATAAAAGCATCCAATGATTTTTGAAAAGTTGATGGCGAGTGAAAATAGAATCGAGTAATAACTCTGAAAAAAGGAATACTTGAACGAGATTAGTTACTATATTTTCCGTTTTTTAAATACTGAATATGAATTCAATATTTAAAAATTCCAAATTGTTCTATTACACAATTTTGAGATATTTGCATTCATAGCATTATAAAAAAGACTATTTTTACATATTTAATCGTATTATAATTATGTTGTACGATTGTTGGAAAAGTTTCATTGTAATAAAAATTAAGTATGTCGTTAAAATTTCTAAGCTTTAAAAAGTTTTTTAAACTGTCAGATATGATTTATAAGATAATTATTAAATTAAATTGTTAAAATATTGATTAAATATTGCTGAATATGAAACTGATGTCAAAACTGACAAATTCAAAATTATGAAAAACATCTATAAATTTTGCAATAATCCAAACATTTTTCAAGTTCTGACATCCGCCATATTAAACCCATAATTTTTAATTTGTCAATTTTGAAATGGTAAAAGTTTAAATAAATATAATTGAAGGCTGTTTGTTAATCATCAATAATTTAATTCATAGCTTTTCCATATAATGGACCTTATATTTAACTATATATTTTATTAACTATAGTTGATTAAAAAATCCTTTTGAGGACTGAAAGTCTTAATTTCATTTTGATTGTAATATAATTTCTCCAATATATCATAAATATCATAAATCGTAGTTATAATATTACAAAATTAATAAAAATCGCTTTTTCTTGCAAAATTAAATGTAATATTTATTATATTATTATATGTAATAATTGTAATGCTTAATAATTTTGTAACGTGATAGAGCAATTTGGAAAACACATTCATGTGTAGGTATTAAACATTCAAAAAATGACTAGTTCTTGTTTCAATATTAAAAAAAGATATTTTTATCGAACAATGTAGTAATATGTATGTATAATTATATATATAGTTATATAATTATATAACTAAATGTTAAATATGAATTTTTAAATTTCGGTTAAATAGTTTTTTATATTAATACGCACTAAATACAATGCCGACTTTTAGCTCTAATTTTCTCTAATTTTGAGTTATTAAAGTTAGGGAATCCAAATTGTTCTTAATTGTTAATAGTAATACATTCTTACTTATGCACACAATTTGAATGTAACAAGTAATAACTCACATGACGACCTGCTTTGTATTTAGAGAATTCGTGAACCGTGATAAGCAAGCAAAACATCCACTAAATATTATATTTCAAATGCATTATCTGAGGAGAAAGATCAAACATTATCGTGCACAATCTTTAACTTTTAGGCCGGTATTCATAGTCACATAGTCGATTCTTATTTCAAGATCATCTTAAGTAATGTCTTAAGACGCTAATGCAGTCCTCTGATTCGTTCGTGACTTCTTAAGACCGTATTTAAAACAGTTTTGAATATAAGATCCGTCTATGAATATACCGACCTTATAAGAACCTCAAATTGCAAAACTCTCCTCAAACTTACGCAAAAAAAGAAAAATATGACAAATGGAGTAACATAGGGTCGGACTTTATATATCTAGATCTCGCAATGCGTTTCGACATATATCTCGCGAGTTTCTAGAATACAAAAAAAGTTCAAACGGCATATTTTATTGGCGCGAACAGCATTGGCGCGAAAGAATCGTTCTATCGGCAGTTTGGAACACAGAAAGCTGGTCTGATTGTTAGTGATGGTGAAAGACCAATCAGGCTCGAGCTCACACAAAGCCGTCTGCTTCCCGTGTATAAATTGAGGGTCTACAGGCTCTATTATACTGCCACGACCCGGGCAGGGCTCACCTTTCACTCAAGGCTCGCCTGCTGGAGAACTCGATCCAGTTGCAATATTTCCAAAATAGAGGTCTTATTTAAAGTAACGAGAGAGAGAGAGAGAGAGAGAGAGAGAGAGAGAGAGAGAGAGAGAGAGAGAATATTTTGAAACAACCCAAAAGAAAGTTTTTGGCACGAATATAATTGAGACTTGTTCTTAATAAAGGTTGAATGTAATATTTTTGAAATTAAAAAAAATTATAAAAACTCTTTATTTCAGAATTATTAAAATTTAATATAAATTTTTAATCTTATAAAATTATGAAAAGTATAAAAT